CATCACAGAGGAAGGATTCCGATACTCTATATCCCACCCAGAACATCCCCTATTTTAAACATCCATATCAAATCAAACAAGATAATATCCCCCATCAATAAACGCCATAATCCCAACGAACTAACCCAACACCACACGTAAAAAAAAAAAAAAACGCGCGAAAAAAACAACAAAACAAAAGACGATCGCTCGCATCACAGAGGAAGGATTCCGATACTCTACATCCCACTCAGAACACACACAATGCTATTGCCATCTGCGCTTTGGAGGACAATCAGAGCAAGTTTTTTTTTTTTCGAGCTGCTAGTCCCTCGGCGCTCCTCGAGAAAGCAACTCGTATGACGGTGATTGAACAAAGACCCCGGATGTGGGGTGTATTTCCTTTTCTTTTTTTTCCCTTATTACTTCTTTCTCTCGTTCGTGTCTGTTTTGTTCTTCTTAAAAAAAAAAATCTTATTATTCTTTTCTATTGATTCATTCTTCTTGTTCTTCTTATTCTTGTATTCTTCTCCTTCGTTATGATATTTACGTTTCCTATTGTAATCTGTGTTTCTTTTCTTGATTTTCTGTCTCTTTTATTTACTTATTTTTTCTAATTCTTTGTGGAATTCTATTTCTTCTATCTGTCTCCTTCCCTCATTCTATCTTTTTTAAAATATCTTCTCCCTCTATTCCCGTTATCCTTATTCCTCCCACAGTTATTCTCCATTCTTCCCTTGTTCCTCTTCCTCCCTCATTCCTACTTCCATATTCCACATTTATTTTTCTTCTTCTTTTCTCTTATTCCTTTTAATCCCATTCTCCCTCTACCATTTTTTTCTGGTTTCCCCTTCCTCTCTTTTCTCTCCTCTCTATCCCTCCCCCTTTATTCCTCATGTTCTTTCCCTCTCTCTTCCTTTCTCTCATATTTCTTCTTTATTCTCTCTCCTCCTTATTCCTTCCTGTATCTTCCTATTTCTCTCACATTCTTGCTTATGTTTTCCTCATTTTATATCATTCCTTAATTTTTTTTTTTTAAATTTTTCTTCATTCCTCCTGTTTCTTCTTTTTCTCATTTTTTTCTTTTTCTCCTATTCCCTTTATCACTTATTCCGAATTCCTCCCACACACCCTTTATTCCTTCTTTCTTCCTCTCTCATTCCTCCTTCTTCCTTCTCATCTATTCTCTCTCTTTTTTTCCTTTCCTCTAATTCCCATTCCTTCTCCCTTTTACTTCCTACTTCCCTATTTCCTTTCTTCTTCCTTCCATTTATTCTTCATCACACTTTCGAAAGATTCCATGCACATGTATCTCTTTTTCTTTCTCTCCCTTTCTTTCGTTCTTCTTCGTTATTCCTCCATACGTATTTGGATAACTTTTATTCGCTTTAAGAGTATCTCCCTTTTTACTCATTTTTTAAATTTCTCTTTCTCTTTTCTCCCCCCCCTTAATGAGCTCTATTATTATATTATTATCATTATTATTATTATTGTTATATTATTATTATTATTATTATTATTATTATTATATTATTATTATATTATTATTATATTATTATTATTACTATTATTATTATTATTGTTATTACTATTATTATTATTATTATTATTATTATCATTATCATTATTGTTATTATTATTATCATTATTATTATTATTATTATTATTATTATCATTATCATCATTTTTATTATTTTTATTATTTTCATCATTATTATCAATAATATTATTATCATCATTATATTATTATTATTTATCATTATTATTATCATTATCATTATTATTATTGTTATTATTATTGTTAGTATTATTTTTATTATCATTATTATTATTATTATTATTATTATTCTCCTCCTCCTCATCTTCCCATGTTTATTCTACTTTCTTCCACCTCCTCCATCCGCAATGCGCATCTCGCTCGTCTTCCGTTTTTTGTTTACGTTTCTTCCCGTTTTCTTCGCTCAACTTACCCGGATACTCGTGTGTTCCTCGATAATACGAGATTTAGCGTCCCATGGCCTCTTGATCTTGCAGTATCCTGTAAAAATACAATAAACACATTATAATATATCCATACATCTATATAAAAAAAAAATACTATATATATATATATATATATATAATATATATTATATATATATATATATATATATATATATATATATATATATATATATATATTATATATATATATATATATATATATATATATATATATATATATATATATATATATATATATATATATATATATATTATATATATATATATATATATATATATATATATATATATATATGTATATATATGTATATATATGTATATATATATATATATATATATATATATATATATATATATATATATATATATATATATATATATATATATATATATATATATATATATATATATATATATATATATATATATATATATATATATATATATATACAAAATGCAATATTAGATACCCATACATATATGCAAAATACGGGATGAAATACCCACACGGATATACAAGAATTCGAAGGAAAAATACCCACACAGATATGCAAAATACGAAAGAAGATACCCACACGAATCTATAAGATGCGAAATGAAATACCCACACAGAATACGAAATACGAAATGGAATACCCACACAAAATACGAAATACGAAATGGAATACCCACACGGATCTGCAAAATCCGAAATAACACACCCACACGAATCTACAAAACACAAAACAAAATATCCACACAAACCTACAAGAATAGGAAATGTAATACACACACACACACACACAAAACACAATATAAAGTACCCACACAAAAAAGAAAGAAAGAAAAAAATAAAGTACCCACACAAAAAAAGAAAGAAAGAAAAAAATAAAGTACCCACACAAAACAAACAAACAAACAAAAAAACAAAAGCACAAAAAACTAAAAAATACAAAATGAAATACCCCCCCCCAAAAAAAAAAAAAAAAAAAATACCCACAAAAAACAACTAAAAAAATACATTATAAATACCCACACAAATCTAAAAGGTCACACAATTCCAAGAAAACAAAACAAAAAACAAAACAAAAACAAATAATAAATCGAATAGAAAATAAATAAAACAAATAAATCAATCAAAATAAAACAGATAATAAATCAATTAGAAAATAATTAAATAGAAAAAATAAAACAGATAATAAACCAATTAGAAAATAATCAAATAAAAAATAAAACCAAATACAAATGAAAATAAAACACCCACACATATCTAAAAAAACGCCAAGAAAAACGAACAACACACACACAAAAGAAAAGAAAAACACCGAAAAAGAGAAAATAACGAACAACACACACCAAGATAAAAAAACGAACAAAACACACACAAAAAAACGAAAAACGAACAGGAAACACAGAAAAAAGAAAAAAAACCACCAAAAAAAGAAAAAACGGACCACACACACACAAGAAGAAAAAAACGAACACACACAAACCAAAAACACCCCCTCCCCTCCCCCCCTCAAAAAAAAAAAAAAAAAAAATCCCCCCAACCCTCCATTCATACCCAACACACAACCACAACCCCCCCCCCGCTAATCGCCCCCCCCCCAATCCCACGACCGGCAAATCCCCGCCCTCTCATTACCGTAACACCACATTTAGATTGAGTGATTGATCTCGACGACATCAAAGCTAAAACCGTTTATGGCGAAGCTACGGCGGGGGGATTCCCCACAATACGGGAGTAATGTAGGATGCAATAGGATGGCACGAGTCTTATCTCCTTTTGAGGGGGAGGGGGGGTTGGGGTGGGGAGATGAGAGATGAGGGGGTGGGGTGGGGTGGGGGGTGGGTGAGGGGTGAGTGGGGTGAGTGGGGGGGATAGAGAAGGATGGGGTGGGGTGGGGGTGGGGTGGGGGTGGGGGGAAGAGAAGAAGGATGGGGGGTGGGTGGGGGAGGTTGGGGTGGGGGTGAGTGGGGGGGGAAGGTAGAGAAGGATGGGGGGTTGGGAGTGGGGGTTGGGGGTTGGTGGGGGTGGGGAAGGTAGAGAAGGATGGGGGGTGGTGGTGAGTGGGGTGAGTGGGGGGGGAGATAGAGAAGTGGGGGTGGGGCGGGTGATGAGTGGGGGGGAAGATAGAGAAGGATGGGGGGTGGTGGGGTTGGGGTTGGTGGTTGGGGGAGGTGTAGAGAAGGATGGGGTGGTGGGGTGGGTGTTGGGGTTGGGGGGGAGATAGAGAAGGATGGGGGTGAGTGGGTGAGGGAGATAAGAGAAGAAATGGGGGGTGGGGGTGGAGGGCGGGGTAGGGTGGGGTGGAGGGGGGGGTCGGGGTAGGGGGGTTAGTATGGGCTTGATGTCGTATCTTTGATAGTAATTTTGATAAGGATAGTGATTATCGATATTTATTGATTATTGTTGTTGGTTGTTGTTTATATTATTATTATATATATTAATTATTATTATTATTATTATTATTATTATTATTATCATTGTTATTATTTATTATTTTATTTACTATTACTACTATTTTTAAATTATTATCATTATTATTATATTATTATATTATTATTATTATTATTATTATATTATTATTATTATGTATTATTATTATTATCATTATTATTATCATTATCATTATTACAATTGTATCATTATATTATGTTATTATTTTCATTATTATTATTGCTATTATTGTTACTATCACTATCGTTTTCATTATCATATATATATTATGATGATTATTATTATTACTTTATTATCATTATCCTTATCATTATAAATCATCACATTATTATTATTCATCACTGTTATTACTGTTATCACTATTATCAGTCTTTCAGTGGTATAGCATCATTATTATCATTATTATTAATGATTATCGTTATCACTACTATCATCATTATTAATACAATTATCATTATATCTTCGCTATCATTTTTATCACCAAAACCATCATTATCATCATTATCATAAATATTATTGTCATTATTGTCATTATTATCACAATCATTATAATCATTATCCTTATCACTATCATTATCAATATTGCTATTGACACTATTAATAATAACAATACTATCACTACTAATTACACTAACAAACGAAGATAAAACAAAAACAATAACACAATTAATGAAAATAATGATGATGAAAACAACATAAACAAAAACAATAACACAAATAATGAAAATAATGATGATAAAAACAAAAATACAAAAAACAACATTAATAAACAAAAACAAAAGGAAAAAAAACTCACTTTCAGGCAAAGTGGTCGTCGGCGAAGTGGTAGTCGTAGAAGTGGTCGTGGTGGTCGTCGTAGTCGTAGTCGTGGGCGTGGTCGTGGGCGTGGTCGTGGTCACGGGCGGGGAGGGGGTGGTCGAGCTGGTGGTGGGGTGCAGGATCGACGGAGCTCCGAGGGCCGGGTGTGGCACCGTGTGGTCGCTCTGAGGGGTGCTGCCCACTTTCCTGACCTGCAGGCGAGTGCCATCCAAACCGGCGCCCATTTCGATCACTTCCACGCTCTCCTCCACGCCCGCGCTGGCTCCCTTGCTGTTGGTGTGGACGGGGGCGTATTTCTCCTTGGCGCGGTTCACGGCGTAGAGGGAGGAGGGCTGCTTCTTCTCTGTGGGGGGGAGGGAGAGGAGGGTGGGGGGTGAGTTGGGGGTTGGGGTGGGGTGGGAGGGGCTGTTTTTTTTTTTTTATTTTTTTTTATTTTTATTTTTATTTTTTTTCGATTTGAATTTCTTGACATTTTTCTTTTTTTCGTTTTGTTCTTTTGTTCTTTTTTTTTTCTTCAAGTCTCTCCTCTCTTCGTTCTTCTCCCTCCTCTCTTCTCTTTATCTCTTTCTCTTCTTCTCTCTCATCTCTCTTCTTCTCTCGCTTCTCTCTCTCTTTCCTCTCCCTCTCTCTCTCTCTCTCCCTCTCCCTCATTTCTTTCCCTCCCTTCTCTCTCTCTCTCTCTCCTCTCTCATTCTCTCCCTCCTTCCCTTTTCTCTTTGTTCCTCTCCAATTCTCTTTTTCTCTATCTCTAATTCTCTCTTTTTTTTCTCTGTCTCCTCTCTCCATTCTCTCTCTCCTTCTTTGTATCTCAATTCTCTCTCTCTCTCTCTCTCATCATCTCTCTCTCTCTCTCTTCTCTTCTCTCTTCTCTTCTCTCTCTCTTCTCTCTCTCTCTCTCTCTCTCTCTCTCCCTCTCTTCTCCTTCTCTCTCTCTCTCTCTCTCTCTCTCTCTCCTCTCTCTCTCTCTCTCTCTCTCTCTCTCTCTCCTCTCTCTCTCTCCCTCTCCTTGTACGACTTACCTTGCTCGAAGCCCTCCTTCTCCCTCTCTTTATCCCTCTCGCGTTCTCTCTTCCTGTCTTTATCTCTCCCTCTCTCTCGGTCTCTCTCCCGTTCTCTCTCCGGCTTCCTCGTGACCGGGAGGTAAATGTCTGCTTTTACTCCCAGACGAGCGATGTGGTAAGTCAGTTGGGTTTCAACTGCAGAGAGGAAAAGGTAGATGGATTAGTGTGGGGTAGATCCGTCTGTGTGGTTATCAAATCGGTTGTTATTGCTGTGGGAAATCTGCTGACACACACACAGACACGGACACAAACACACACAGACACACACAGACACACACACACAAAACACGTATCAAATCGGTTGAAATGGGAAATCTACTGACACACACGGATGCACAGACACGGACACACACACACAGACGCACAGACGCGGACACAAACACAGACGCACACACACACAAAACATCTGGGAAGATCCGTCTGTGTGGTATCAAATCGGTTGTTATTGCTGTGGGAAATCTGCTGACACACACGGACAGACACGGACACAAAAACACACAGAAATACACACACATACACAACAAAACTTTCTGGTTATCGTTGTTAGAAATACGCATACACAGACGCAAACACATGCACGACGCGGTACCGACACACACAGCACACACTGGTATCGAATCGGTTGTTATTGGTGTGGGAAATCTGCTGACACACAGAAGCACAACATACACACACACGTACAGGACACATACAGACACACACACACACACGCACACACACACAAAACATCTGGGAAGATCTCTCTGATATCATATAGGTTGTTATTTCTATGGGAAATCTACTCACACACACACACACACACACACACACACCACACACACACACACACACACAAAACATCTGTCTATCCATGCTCCATCTATCTATATGCGGATATCTTTATTGTTTTCTTTTAACGCACACATGCAGGAACACACGCACACACACATCTATTTTTGTGGTCCATCTATCCATGTGCGTATATGTTTACCTTTGTCTTTTCTCTAGAAAATTATACACAGGTGCACATTACTAATACACATAGATTTAAAAGCTACTCATGTATACAATACAATTCACAAATATACAAAACAATTTTTTTATATTCATTTCGAGATATATTTCGTACTGAAATACCGTAATATTCCTGATTCAATAGTTTTATACAAAAAGAGAGAAAAAAAGAAAAAAAAATCTGATGGTACATTCAACTGAGGTCCAAATATAAAAGAAATACTATTTGTTTATATCATCGAATTCTTTTATTAGTTCAACAAAGCGTGGTTCATCTTGATTGTGTGTTTTTTTTTTCAAATGTTTTTTTTTTTTTTCTTTTCTAATATTATTCCAAAAATGAAAGAAAAAAGGAGAAACTGATATAATTATATTTATTCTTTCCTGTTATAATTTCAGCTATTGTTGTCCTGTTCATTATCAGGATATCATTTATCCATGATTTTTAGAGATATAAATTTGGTTTCTGTAATAATTATTTTTAATGATTATCATTCTCTCCAACCCTCTGCCCCCCCCCCGTCCATTAGTGGTCACCCCCCTCCCTTCCCCTCTCCCCCTCCTCTTCTCCCCTACGCTAGCCACCTCACTTTACTCTATTTCTCCCTTTCTCCTCCCTTCCATTCCTCCATCTCCATCCTTTACTTTTATTCTCTCTATCTCCTTTCCCTTTCCCTTATCCTGTTTCCTATATTCTTCCTATTCTTCCTTTCCTTTTCTTTTCATTACCTCATTCCTCTTCTTCCCTTCCCTGCCTTTTATTCTATCCTTCTCCTTCTTCTTCCATCCTTCGTCGTCTTCTCCTACCTTCCTATCTCCTTCTCTCCTTCTTTTTCCATCATTCGTCGTCTTCTCCTCCCTTCCCTATCCTCCTTTCTCTCCTTCTTATCCCTGTTTTCCTCTCTTTCCTCCTTTCAGGATTTGATTCCTCATTTTCTCTACCTCTATCCTATCCCTCCTTCTTCCCCTTCTCCTTTTCCCTGTTACTCCCTTCCTCCTCTTCCTCCCCATATTCTCTTCTCTCTTCTCCTCCNCCCTATAAACATCTGATCTAACTATCCCATTCACACAACAATAAAACTTTAAACAACAGTTGGGGTTGTCTCGTTCCAGCTGTCATGAACATATGACGCAGACATTAAATCTGTCATTCTCTATTTCACTTAATGACATCCATTGGCTTCAATACAGAGAGAAAAAAAACTGAAAATATCTGGATATATATACCTATGATTTTTTTTTTTCAATAATGATAACAACAACAAAATACGTTTCCTGTCTCACTGATGTTGATATTATTATTACCAATTCTATTATCGTTAATTATGATATCTGTAGCCATAAATGATAATGATGATAAAGATAATGATAGAGATAATGACGGTGAAAGTGAAGATAATTAAGAAAGTAGGACCCATAAGAATAGTCACAGGTATGTAAATACGTAATATATATGACTCACATACATATGCTAGGTTTAAAAAAACATTCTGTATTGTATACGGTTGCCTCGCGAAATAAAATGGATATAACGAAAGCAATATACAACGAAATTATAATATAGAGTGCAAGTAGTACCACGACCTGCTTCAACATTTCCCTGTATAAAAAAAAAAAAAAAAAAAAAAAAAAAAAAAAAATCAACTGCTTCTCATGTTTCGTTAATTACTGACATAAATAATTCCGTAAATTACGTCGATAAACGGATGTATTATGCAAGGATTTCTTTGACGGAAGCAATAAAACGTTAATGGGAGGAAGGTAGAATTTCCATGGCTATGATCTTTTATGACTTTCTCGCCTCCCTTTTTGCGCTAATACTTGCCTGCTCTCGTGAAACACTCATTCTACGTCGATAATTAAGGTGTTCTCTTTTAGATATTTAGTTAATAATTAATTTTTTTTTTTTTTTTTTTTTTTTTTTTTTTTTTTTTTTTTTTACTTTTCGGTTAACGGTTAGGAAAATTTCTTTGAAATATTCAGTCAATAGTTAATATATTTGCGTTGAACTATTTATTTAGCAATTAAGATATAATAATTGAGAATATTTTCCTTGAATATTCATTAAGTCAATAATCAAGGTAGTTTCTTTGGACTACTCTATGAATACTCATATAATTTCTTTGAAATATTGATCACTATTAGAGGATTTAAAAAAAAATATTCAGTCGAGTTTCTTTTACGTTCAGTCAGTAGGCAAAATAGTTTCTTTAAGCATTCAGTTAACACAACACACACACACACACACACACAACACACACCACACACACACACACACACACACAACACACACACACACACACACATACACACACATACACAACACACATGTATACACAACACAACACACACACACGCACCGCAACACACACACACACCCACACACACACACACACACACCACACACACACACACACACCACACACCAAAACACACACACACAATACACACACATGCAACACACACATACACACACACACACACACACACACAACACACACACACACACACACACATATACTATATATATATATATATATATATATATATATATATATATATATATATTATATATATATATATATATATATACATTATATATACATACACATGTATGTATATGTAAAGAGATGGACAGCCTGAAATGATATAGACACCACGCCCACGTACCTGTATGCAAAGGTTTGTGAGCTATTAACGTCAT